TTATCTTTTGATTTCATTTTGAAAAGTTTTTAATGCAAATCAGCAGCAACAGCAACAGCAACAACAACAACAACAGGAGCATTAACAAGAGCTTCATATGGCTCTGCCTGGACGTAATCCTCACCAGCTTTTAGTTCAGCTTAGCTATGGCCGGGTGAGAGCTTTGCGGCCAAGCTGAATAGGCCAAGGCAGGACAAGGTGCTTAGAGCAGGCGTTTCTTCATTTTAATTCAGCTGGGTGTCGGTGCATGTGTGTGTGTGTGTGTGTGTGTGTGTGGACAAGGACATGTAAGCCCATGCCCCAGCATGGGGCAGGTTGAGTCTATTGTTGTGTATGTGTGTGAGAGTGCGTGTGTGTGTGTGCGTGTCTGTAAAGTTATTAAAAGCATTCAAAACATTTCGGCAGCTGGCGCCGGGGCGTTAGCCAGGGAAGGGGGCGTGTCATTTACATAACTATGGCTAAACAAACACGAAATGCCGCCTGCCCTGACACGAATACCCAAACCCCCCCCCCCCCCCGGCACACCCTCCTCCACTCAACCCATAGAACAGAGGTGTTTTGGGACTGCCCGAAAATGTTCTACAAAATAACACAACCGCAACAAATTACCAATAAACAGCTGAAACAACAAATGTGCGAGTTGTTGTCGTTGTTGAGCGGAAACAGCAAACAAAAGTTATTGGAGCAAATCGTATAGCTCATTGTTGTAGATGACACGGCACAATAAGTTGATATAAATGATTATTTTATGCTCGAATATGGACTGTAAGCTGCAGCTTAAGCTTGTCACAAGCAGAAACCAGGCAAATACCCAAAGCTGAGCTTGTTCCTCATTAAATTGTCAAAATACAAGAAACAAATGATCAACTTTGCCCAAACCCTCCATTGAGTATTTAAATAATCCCATTGAAACAAATAAGAGCCGAAATAAAAACTCAGTTTCATTTAGTTGGCAAAATCGGCGAATTATGTCCAATTCATACATTTGCTGCCCTTTTCAAGTATTTTTATGCACACGTTGAAGCGCAAATGTTGAAAAATAATGGCAAATGAGAAGAAATTTAATGCGAAAATAAAATTGCGAGCTTGTATTCTTTGCGCACAGATTAAAACTGGCTGCGGTGACCTTTTGTTGGGGCGCAACTGTTGCCATTTCAAGGTAGTCACATAAAATTGCATATTTATGGCAGCATCAACGCGCGGGCCGCATTATTGGTGTCAGTTGCTGTTGCCCTTGGGTTGGTGGCTTGCCACCTCACCCCACCTCCGTCTGCTTGCCCCCGCTGTCAGCTTGAGGGGCGCAGCTTTCATTTGATTTCCATGTGCGGTCGCGCCGCACACGAAGTGTAGGCAAACAACGTGAATGTTTATGTACTCTACACGTTCCCACAGTTCAGCCGAGCTCCTGCAATTGCGAAGCTATCAAAACATGTGCTACACGCCGCATCGTCTCCAGTGTGGCAGGGGCAACAGCATGTTGCCACAGCAATGTGTCTGTGGGGGCAGCTAACGTTGGCCAACTTGTTGCCGAGTTCAGTTGCTGCTGCTGCTGCTGCTGCTGCACTCTTGTGGCAACGTTTGCCATTGCTTTATGGCCTTTACCCCCCCCCCCCCCCCCCCCCGACTTACCGCAGCTGCAAGCACACACAGAAACTCTCCGCCTAACCAATTGTATGTGGCATGTGGTGCGTATGAGCGGGGCCAACATGAATGTTATTTCATTTACTCAAATGTTGTTCTACCCATTTCACAAATTCTAATGGGGTATATTGGTTGTGTACAAGACAACAACTGGAATATAGACTGGAATATGGACGCACTCCAGCAGGCGGAGCTACATATGCAGCTGTTTTGGAGCTTAGGTCAAGAGGCTAACAAAATGACCTCCAACAAAGATCGAGACATGCCTACTAACCCATAAATCACGGAAAAATCTATATTTAAAAGTACAGTTTGAAAGGCGCTGTCTTGTGATTACCGTTTGAGAGTCACTAGCCTAATCAGTGCTTAACATTTTAGATTCCTTCTCTCGCTGCTTCGAAAATGGAGAAATAAACACATTTTTCGAGCTATAGCCTTGGACTTTGGAATTAGCACACATTTTAATGCAATATTTATGCACTGAAAATTTCATAAAGCTCGCAAGTTAAACACCAAAGTTAATCAAGAATGCATTTTCCATGGTGAAGTTCTAAGGGAAGAAGAAGCACAACCCGCGTAAACAACAAAGCAAGCGGCTTGCGTGCTTATGTGTGTGTCTGTGTGCGTGTGTGTGTGTGTGTTCTCTTGAGTACATAGTATTTATGTAAAGAAGCGAGAGTTTGTAGATTTTGTAGCATCAACTTGAATTCAGGGTATTTTCTAGTCGAGCTTTCCCCACCAGAGCACTCTTAGTTATTTTTTTTAATAGTGTTTTGCGGCTGACGGCTTTTGTGAGAGCTGATGAATTGGTTTTGCGGTCTTCCAGTCAAATGCACTTGGCTCGAGTTTGGTTTTTATTTGAAAACCACTTTTTTTAATATTATTTTGTTTTTATATTTATTTGATTTGAAGCATTTGAACAAAGGCCGCTTAAAAGCAAAGCCCCAACACACACACATATACACACACACACACACACATATACACACAAATTCATTAGGTTGCCCAGTTTACCAAACTAATTTCGTTCCATGTTTCAAATTCAAATGTCTTTTGTGTGGTTTTTCGGGTGCCCTTTTAAACGGCAAACACACCACCCGCAACCCGCAACCCGCTGACCGAACAGCTACCAAGCACCGCAGCACACAGCTGATGTAAAAATTAGAGCGCACAAATGTGTCCCAAGTGCGTGTGCCCTCCAGCTGGATGAGCGCGATGCGGCAGCGTGCTGCTCCTGATGATGATGATGATGATGACTGGTCCTTGTTTCTGCTGGGCATACTACTACGCAAAAAAAAAACAACCCGGCACATTTGTAATTTGTTGAAGTCTTCGTTTTGGGTGGCGCCTGCATGAAGCACGTCGCACATCGCACTTGCCCATCGGCTTGTAAGCGATGCCAGTGTTGTGTGCTGCCCCGTCGCCTGCATAATTTATGCGAAATCAGCGACGAAGACAACGCAGTCCACCACACCAGCAGCCCACCACACCGCCAACCCACCAAACCAACGGCACAGCAATGCGCCAACCCACCAACCCACCAACAGCTGCCAGCGGCGTCTGCACGTAAAATGCTTTATCCGCGTTTCATTGTCACGCGACAAAAAAAAAAAAATAACAGAAAAAAAAGAAGCGGCAGGCAACGAAATTTACAAATTTGCTGCGCAGCTAAAAAAAATATTAACGCTTGGATTTCATACCTGCCACAAAGAAGAAGCAAAAAGTGGTGGGACTAGAAAAAGAAGACTAAGCAGCAGCAGCAGCGACAACTGTAGCTCAACACAAGACAGCCAGACAGTCGCCTGGCATGTCTTCCATCTTTGAAAAACTTTGTCTTCAGTCATACGAAGTTGTCCCACTTTGTGCCTCCCCCCACCGCCCCCCTCCCCCTTCCCACGCACACCACTACTTTTGCTGTGTTTGTGGGTCTTAAGGATAATCACCTTGAAAACAGAACAGACTTTAAGCAGATAGCGAGAGTGAGAGAGAGAGAGAGAGAGAGAGAGAGAGAGAGAGAGAGAGAGAGAGTGCGAGGGCAAACGTTGTTTTTATCGCACTTCTTTCTTTTACTTTCGTGCTGCTGCATGCGCCTTTTTGTCCACACTTTGCCGCTGTGTTTATTTTTGCATAATTTTCTTTTATCCCTAGTCCAATGTATTTTTCATATTGTGCTTACCTGGCCTGGTCTGGTCTGCCCAGCACTTACGCATGCTCCTGCAGCTCCTGCTCCTGCTCCTGCTCCTAATCCTGCTCCCGCTCCAGCTGTTGTTTCTTGTTGGTGTCGCATTTTGAAATTGTCGTCTCAACAAATTTGTTTACCTGGGTGCGTGTGCGTGCACATAATGGCACATTGGCAAGTTTCTAAGGATTACACACAGAGAGAGAGAGATAGAGATAGAGTGAGTGAGAGAGAGAGAGCGAGTGTAAGTTTCAGGATTTAGGCGTCGGTGTTTCTATTTGATATCTTGCTCATTATACAAAAGTTGCGTGTATATAGAAAACAACGAAAACATTTCATTCAACTTTTTGGGCCCAAATTCAATGAGGCCAAGTTAGCGCCCCTAAATGCTTTTTCCATAAAAGCAAAAACAACAACAACAACAACAACAGGCCCAAAACAAATGAAACGGGAAACCGTTTGTACCAAATTATATTATTGCCATAAAGAAAACAGAAAACGAAAAGCGAATCTTTTTACAAACTCGTTTCGTTTCGGCTTTTATATTTTCTTTTTTTTTTTTTTTGGTTTTACCCACAGGCCGCTTAAATGTTTACTTTACTTTATTTCTTGTAGTCTGTTTGTTGTTCTTGCTTTGGCAGCGTGCGAGGCAAATGAGTTTGTCTGCCCCAAAGTTAAAAACTAACTTGCTGCCGTCCAGCACGGTCGGTCCTTAATGTGTTACGAAAATATCAAACGTAATGAGGGTCAAGCAATGTTTGGGCTTTGGTTTGCTTTTCTTTATTTTTGTTTTGGGTGGCAGACCAAAAGGGTCTTGCTTGACCAGCTGCGGCTACTTGTTTGCCGAAGGGCACCAAAAAGTGGCCGCAAAACAAAACATAGATTTTATGCACAACACTGCACATTTGAACTTTTCAAGTCAAAGTCTTAACGATTCGCCACAGTCTTAACGACAAGGCGGTTTTCGTGGAAGATGTTTTATATAATATTACTGCTAGACATTTTGCACTTGATGATGAGCTTAAGGAAATTACAAAAAAATGGCGCTCTTGATATCGGAATGATGCGATATGTTCGATAACATAAACGCAAAATGAGTCGAAAACGCGCAAAATGCGCAACGTAACGCATTTAGCGTAAGTTAGCTTAGCACTAAGTTGGCTGCACGCAATTGCGTACTCACCTTAAGTTGTCCGCTTGTGTTCTGCTTTCTTGGAATTTTTCCCATATACTGCTCGCGGTCGCACTGAAGCCGACAAAAACAGATGTAAACAACTCGAGTAAATTCCCAAGACCATTTTGCCTTTATAATGTTTCACTACACACTGCCTTGTGGTGGCTTTAATACACTGACGAAACTCACAGAAACGGGAATTAACTTCGATCCGCCGGTGTACGAGCAGCGATATTGTGCTACAATTCAAATATTAGAAGATACGCGCTGGGTACACGAAATCAAAAAGGTCACTGAATTTGGGTGTGTATTATTGTTCACTTTAGTTGTATTTTTGCTATGTTTTAATTACTTTTAACACGGTTTATCATATTTTTTTCTTTAGCTGTGCTGAGATGCGACTCTTCCAGTTAATGCGACGCATAGAAACTATCGAACACATTCTGCAGGTTCGTAATGCGATTAAGAGCGCCATTTCCCACTAAATTAGTTATTATCTGTAACGTAGTCAATACGGGGAATTTAAACAGTTAGCTTATATGGGTAATTGTTAAAGACATACAGTTTCTATTTATTTTATTTATATACGCAGTTCATATCCTAGCTTAAACTTAATAATTATGTTTTATGCAATAATAACCTTCATCTAGTTAAATACTTTTTTTTTTTTGTTTTTGAGGGGATTATCATTTATGTAATATAATCGAATCGGGTGCGACTTAAAGCGAGACTAACGTAAAAACTTTCAAATAAAATTACAATTAAACAATAATTTGCTATCAAGGCCAATTTATAACCTAACGGTGCACCTGTCTCAGTGCCCACACATTCATCTCTCCTAATATATATATGTATGTGTGTGTATATATATATATGTCTGTATGTACGTGCTGTAACAATTTCTGTCCTTAAAAATGTTGTATAAAATGAAAGAACGTTAGAAATTACAAAACATTCTGTGCTTTTTCACTGTATAAAGTGTGCTGAACAACTTGATGAATAGGCATTGATCCAATGTGGAACGCCTGGAGGCGTAACCAGCCATTCTTCACTTTCTTCTCCCTCTCGCTCTCTCTCTCTTTCTGTCTGTTTCACTTAGGGGATAGTTAACTTCTAAAAAATACTTGAAAACGCAGCATAACTGTTATTTGTATGTACTATTATTTATGTAGTTCCGCCAGCTCCACTAATTTGATGCCATTCAGCAACAGTTGCAAATGTTAATCATTTTTTTTGTTAGGGTATCTAATTGTCGTATCACTTGCGGCAATGCCTGGACGAGTTGACATTGCGCCCCTTGCCGTAGCTGTTCTCATCGTCATATTGCCACACGCTGTACACGTTCTGCATATTTGTGGCATAGTTGTTCTCCACATCCTGCTGCCGCTCGCCACGTATGTGTGGTTCAGTCTTATATAGACAACGACGGGTGCGCCGCTGTTTGGTTGCATCCACCGCCGATCGACTGGACTTTAGCTTGTTGTTGTTGTGATTATGATGATGATGATGTTGCTCCAATTCGCCGGTGGCGGACGCCATTGTCGCGTTCTCCTTGCGAGTGGCGCAGCCACGTTTATTGCTCCCGACTGTGGTTAACGGTGTGACAATCATCCTGCTGTGCTCCTGCTGCTGCTGACTATGGCCATTTGTGTTTCTCAATTTGCCGGCTCGCTTGCGCGTCGCCCCTTTCCCTTTGGCCACCTGTTGTTGTTGTTGTTGTTGATGCGGCTGCTGCACCTGAATCAGTTTACTGCTGTTGCGCGGACGACCACGGCCGCGACGCACTGCCTCCGACTGTGTCGTGCCTTCACTTTCGTCGCTCTGCTGATAATCCATCTAGGTATGATATAAGGAATTAATGATTGAGTTCTCTGTGTGTCGTATATAAAGCCAAGCACTCACCTCTTCGTCTTCACTTGTTGCCTCTGGCTCCGCTTCTTCCATGTCAACTTCTTCTTCCTCCTCCTCCTCTTCCTCCTCCTCCTGCTCCTCTTCTTCCTCCTCCTGCTCCTCTTCATCATCCTCCTCCTCCTCCTCTTCCACCTCATAATCATCATCGTTCTCTTCCACCGTCTCGTATTTATCCGGTTCACTTGCCTCTTCGTTGTTGTGTTCCTGCACGCTCAGGCCCTTGTCCCGTCTGCTCTGCTCCACAGCCAATATCGCATAGGTCGGCCTGCCCTCGTACCGCCTGGGCAGACGTGACTGGAGCGGGCAGATGACCTCCTCACGCTCGAACTCTTTGACGGCACGTTCGCGTGCTATTTGATCGGGATCCTGTGACAGCACCTCCGCCCACGAGAATTTCTTCTTCTTGGCATTCTTTTTGTTGGACTTGGAACGCAGATTTTTGGGCGATACACGATTCGTTAGCGAGTGCTCCTGGAATGGTGTGCTGAGCGTCGCGTTGCGCATCACATTGCATGCAATTTTATTGTTCAGCTCGAATATGTCGCACTTGGCGCTGCCATCGATCTCGTCCTTAATGGAGACACGTGTGCGCAAGATTTCATCGCTGCTCAACTGCATCTGGCTGCAATCGTAGCCGAGCCGGCGATACTCGCGCTTGAAGATGTTGCGATAGCGCTCATAGTTGGGCCGCTCCTGGTAGGCGAGCTGTCCGATCTGCTGCAGAAATTCGCCCAAATATTTAGGAACCTGTTTGCCATAGAACTGTCGCAGCATTTCGCAGACATCGGTCATGAACAGCTCCTTGGCGCGATGCACCTTCTCCTGCTGCTGCTGCTGCGCCACATCCTTCCATGGCAGATAACCCTCCGACCAGTACAGCAAATTGTAGCCCAAGCACTCCAAATCGCTGCGACGCGAATGCGCGCCCAGGTGTGCATCCCGGGAGGTGAACTCCAGTGTGCCATCATGCGCTCGTCGCTGATCCATGATGAACGGCCTGTGCACGCCGCGATCCTGATACTTGGAGGCCAGACCAAAGTCAATCAGGAATATGTGCTCCTCTTCCACCTGCACCAATTGATACTGCGTCGCGGCACGCTTATTTCGTGCACCGCCATTGCGTACGGGCTCTGAGACATCACTTTTCAGCTGCTGCTGCTGCTGCTGCTTTGGCTCCTGGCGGCGGGTGACGGCGCGGGTGGAGGAGCGCGAGACGCGCTTGGGTGCACTGGCACCGCCCGAACGTCTGGCACACGGCGGCACAAACTCATCGGACTCATTGTCCGAACTTTCCGGCGACTGTTCGCTGTTGGCATCCGCCTTCACCGGGTAGCCATCCTCGTTGAAGAGCTCCGAGTAGCTGACGCGCTTGGCCGGTCGCAGATAATGTGATTTGACCATCTCCTCGTACATGGAGCTGGAGTTGCGCCTATCGTTGCGGCGACACGAACGCATCGGATTCGAGCCGCTAAACTCGACGGCAGCGTTGCGAGCGCGTCGCTTATTTTTGTTCACTGGCGTCTGGTACAGGTCCAGGCTGTTGCTATTGTTGCTATTTGTTGTGGCACCATCATCGAAATCCTCATCCTCGTCCTCGACATCGTGGTCCTCTTTGATGGGCGCAATGCGCTTTAGCACAAACTTGTCGTTCTTCACAAAGTAGTCATCGTCGTTAGTCTCCTGCTCGGAACTGTTGCCGCTATCCGTCGTCTGCTGCTTCTCCTCGTAGTGCTCATCGTAGCTCTTGCCGCCCTGCACAGCCTGCCGCTTGAGGTACTTGCACTTGGATATCATCAGGTTCTGCGCCTTGATATCGTTGTGGCAGTAGCCCTTGTCATGCAGATGCTCCAGCACATTGATTACGTTTATGGCCAGCACCAGCAGAGATTTTTGTGCCACGCGCGTGTTCTTGATCAGCGAATGCAGATCCCGATCAAAGCGCGGCAGCACCAGAAACCGATAGCGACCATCCCCGAAGTAGTGTGTGCCCGAGGCTATGTAGCTCGGAATGCCCGTGGGCGGTCCATGGCTAATTGTTGGTGGCAGCTTCTCAATGCTGCACGCCTCGTTGCCATTCGTAATCTCTGCAAGAAATAGTTGGGATTAGGTGAATGTACATGTGCTTTGGACTACTTACGCGGTGTCTGATTGGTATTGATGAGACAATGTATTTCCACGAAGAGCGGCCCATTCGAGTGTGGCTCTATTTTGACCACATATTTGGCGCTCTCCGAGCTAACCGGGCAAACAGTGTCATCCGAGGCAAGAAATATCTCGCCAAAGTTGCCCTTGCCTGCAGGCAATTGTATTAGATTAAGAATTATATATATATATATATATATATATATATATATATATATATATATATATATATATATGGATAGTTGGTGCCTACCTATGGGTCGTCCTAGTCGCCAGGCCTTGGAGAGCACATCCCTAAGTATGGTGCCATTGACTACAGACGGGCGCAGTGTGTAAACCGGGCGCGGTGATTCGGTTGCATTGGAATTATTGTGATCGCTGAAGCCGCCGCTGGCAAATGTGGCCAGGGACAGCAATGATGCACGCGAATTGACTGGACACTGGCCACGTGGTGCTGCTGGTGGCGGCGCCTGCGGCTGTGGTGTTTGCAACAGAGCTACGTTTGCCGAGCCGGATGAGGAGGAGTCCTCGTCATCGTTTTCGTGCCAATCAAAATTGTTATTGTCAGCGCTCAGGCGCTGGCACTTCTCCACCCGGGAGGCTTTAACAGCGGGACGCTTGCGTTTCCGTGGTTGTGTTTTATTGGTTTCCGTTTGTTGCTGGCGTTCCGAAGCGATGCGTTTGCCCATGTTTAGCAGGCGGCAGTCGATTGGAAAAACGCTCCAACTTTCAATTTCCAATGCCCAATTCCCAGTAGATCGGATCGGATCGGATCGGGTCGGGTCGGGTCGGTTAGTTGACAGTTGTCAGTCTCAAGTTAACGCAGAGCGCATAAAGGAACGTTGAATTTGAAATTGTGAATTGTTGTGTTTGTTTTTGTCTGTATTCTCTTTTGTATGTTTATACCACGCTTTCTTTACTGTTGACATTCGTGGTGGCTGTGGCAAGAAGAAGAGTGGCGCTGATGAGTTGATTTTCAGTTATGATTTATTTTAACTGCTTACGCTTAACAAATGCCAAATAAATCAAAAACAAAACACACGCGCACCCATACACACTCACACACACACATGCACAGTAAAATCCTATTGTAACTGCTGCTGATTAATTTTGCATGTTTTTTTTTCGTTTACATTTTTTGTTTTGCCACCACTAATTCAGGTTTCACGCTCTATTGTTTTGAATCTCGTTGTTGCGCCGGCACAATGTGAATGGAACGCTGTCGGCTAAAGCGGAATGGCAAAATTATGGGCACGGGGCACATGCATACATACATAGATGCGTGCACACGCACGCACACCAACAGCGCTTGCTTTGGTATTGGTCACAATTATGCACACACAACAAAACAAATAATTTAACAAATCTCTGATAATTCCCCGACAATTAATCACTATTGCTAAAACTGCAAAATATAATATACACACACACATCTATACACATATATTCATGCGAATTTTACACTCAGCGCTCGGTGAAGAACACAAGAAATCTTGTCTGACACGAACGGACAGCCAAAGAGGGCAGAGACGGTGGCTTCCTGCATGGAAGAATATTGATTTAGCTGGACCGCCGGCACAGGCCACAGTTGCCTTGCAGCATTTTATTTAATTATTTTAGTGCTGCGCGCACTCGTATTTAGTTTAGACACACAGTTTATATGCCGTTTGGCTATTCGTTTGATTAATTTCAATTGCCACTTTTCAGTATGTATTTCTTTCACGTATTACAAGTTTTCTTCTTCTTGTTTTCACGTTGTCTTTTCCCTCAAATGCAATACAAGAAAAATTTCACTCAGCATGCTTTGCAGGCGTGCACTTATTGCTTACACAGTTGCATTTGTGTGTTTTAGTTACACATTTTCACTATATTTTGCAATTGAATCTATTTATTTCGCTACTCAATTGATTTTCACAACAAATTACATATTCTTCGTGCACTGCTGCCCGTGCTCGGAACACTCACACACACACGCAGTCAATGTGACAAGCCAATGTTTCGTTGCCATGTTGTTGCGCCATTTTGTTTCGTTTCTGGGTTTGTACAGCGTTGCCAGACTGTTCAAATTGCACTTTGTGTTGTGAAACGAGTTGGAATTAAGACCGGCTGTTAAAATTTGAAATTTGTATCGCTCTTAATTACAGGTGGACATCGACGACAATCTTTTAAAGGGGCATTTAAATCGTACCAACCCACTTGTTTGCGACTTTCTCAGACAACGCCTCGGTCCACTGCGTGTTGAGGTGCTGCATGGCAGCGTCGCGGACTCAGCTGAAGAATTAAGGGACACAGACGCGGTCATAGCATTGGAACTGTAAGTTATCTGGATTGCATAATAATATACATTGTAATATTATTATTATATTTTCTTGCAGCATCGAGCATGTTCATGACGATGTGCTGGCTAAGATTCCTGCAAATGTTTTTGGATTTATGCAGCCAAAAATTGTAATTTTTAGCACACCCAATTCGGACTTTAACATAATATTCACACGCTTCAATCCGCTGCTGCCGAATGGCTTTCGCCACCACGATCACAAGTTTGAATGGACACGCGAGCAGTTCAAATCCTGGTGCCTGGCCATCACCGAAAAGTATCCCAATTACATGTTCTCCTTGCTGGGCGTCGGCGAGCCGCCGCCCGGCGACGAATCCGTGGGCTATGTCTCCCAAATGGCCCTGTTTGTGCGAAAGGATATGCTGGGCATGCCACTGCCGGAGCCACTTAAAGTCCAGCCTCTGCCAGACATCGGAGCCAGCTATAAGCGTCTGCATCTCGTTGATTTTCCCTTCAATAAGGACAATCGCACGCAGGAGGAGAAAATATGGGCGGAGATCGAATTGCAACTGCATCGCTGCACAAAGGACGAGGATAATTATGATAACGAGAAATGCATGTACAAAATGTCCATTTTGGAGCTGCTTGACAGGCTCGCCTATTTGGGCGCTACGCGCCAAATATTGGATCAACTATTGGAGCAGCATAAAAAGCCAATCGAAAATGGTTTTGTGCTCATCGAGGAGGAGCCCGATTGCAACTACAACGAGGAACTGTTTGAGGAGTACGAACAAACGGCGCCAGTCTCCAGCGCAGATGAGGAAAACTGGGATAACTAAATGTATAAGAATAATAATAATAATAATAATATGAATAGTACACACATGCCATATATTAACTGCTGCAGCAGCACATAAATCAGACAAGTCGAGCTGGGGTTGGGTTTGTTTGTCAACTTTTCAATTTTCCCTAACACATCCGCCCTGGCTGGACTGACCCAGCAACCACCCAGGCGAGCATCCAACAAACTGTTAAAGCGCTTGATGCTTGGCTTGGATTTCCTTCCTTTTTTTGGGGGGTGGCCGCCAAGATGACGAGACGCCGGCATCCGTCTAGCGGGGCACCCGCACGGAAATTGCAATTGTTTGCAAAAAGAGGGTGGCAATCAGTTGAGCTGCGGACTTGGCGCAAACGCAGCACAACAAAACACAAACACACACACACACAGGGCACATTAATACCCTGCCGTGACGCTGCTTTTGCGGTTGCCTGGCCCGAGCAAAGTTAATGGAGTCGGCGTCAGAGTCAGTTGCAAGTGAATCGCGCTCCTGACAGGCAACACAAATTGCCGCAGCCCGCTCCAAATCCCCCAACCCCCCCGCACGTGTGCCTGGCGTGACAACAACAACAATATTCAGTTTCATTCTCATGCCAGCCTGGTCTAATACCTAACTTGAATTCTATGTCACATGTAAATCGGAATTTAACTCAATTTTTCTAACATTACCAGTTACTAGCTCGCGTGTATATGTGTTTGCATGTGTGTGTGTGCGGTTCATCGCGTGTCACCTTTATATAGCTCTCTCCTCATCATATATAGGTAACGGAAACGTTGCACGTTCAATTCTTGCGCTAAACATAGCTTGGTAAGTTGGTAAGACTTGCTACAAATGCCCGACATGGCCGATGAAGAGGGTGCCAAGGAGGGCGACAAGAAAATCGTGCACACCTATCCGCTGGTCAAGGTTGGTGCCAAGCATTGCAGCATTAAGTAAACGCCGTATACTCTATATTCGCACATTTCTTAAAACAGCACTCGGACATGAAGGAGGAAATGCGCCAAGAGGTCATCGACTTGAGCGTCAGTGTGTGCGAGAAATACTCTTCAAATTATGAGGTAAGTGCAAAACTAACTAACCAAGTGGAAAACAGTTTGGCTCAGAGTGCCGAAGTTTTGATGCCCTGCCACAGGCGTACATATGATATATGTTATAGTTATTCGATTTAAAAAAGAAATTCTATGCATAAAAACAGCTCAATAGAGCTCACAATTGAGCTGTATATCGTCTTAAATATATATAATCGTATATTATATTTAAAAAAAACAAGAGCTCAATTTTGGCCTTAACCAATTATTGCCTATGGGAACTATATTATATAGCTGTCCGATATTGATAAGCTTTTGCTTATAAGTAAGGCTCACAGTAAAGCTTCTAATTGTAGAATTTGGTTAGCAAAAGGATAGTTCCTTTAAGAGAGATATATGAAAATAGTAAGCCGATCCTAACTCTGCTATAAAATGTACTCAGACCAAGCTTCAGCAAGACTGCGAGACTTATTTGAACATAAACAAACAGTTAGAGCTCTATCGATTCAACTATTGATGTTGATCAAGAATATATATCTCTATGTTCTTCTAATTTGGTGACCTACTTTTTCTTATAAACAAGATTTTTAGAACTTTTGCTTTAAATTAAATACAAGAGATCATATTTCGATTATGCTCGAGAATCAAACCCGAAAATCTTCCTATAAATATCGAACTCTAAATATTTCCCGCAGCTAGCTGCCAAAACGATTAAGGATACGATGGACAAGAAATTTGGCATCTATTGGCATGTGGTTGTCGGCGAGGGATTTGGCTTTGAGGTATCCTATGAGACTGAGAATATACTCTATCTATTCTTTGCCGGCAATTTGGCCGTTGTGCTGTGGAAATGCTCCTGAAGCGAGGCCAACGAACAAACAGCTAACAGACGTACCTAGAAACCGAAACGAAACTAAAAGAAAATATAAAAATTTTTGTATTACCTATACAACATATATATATATATATATGTATATATATAGCATGTAGTTAATGTTGTGTATTAAGTTGCGCCATGTAAAAAGAGAAACAAAAAAAAAAAACAACTGAAATGTAAAAGTGGAAAAGTTGTGTGTTCTTTGCCATGGCAACTGCTGTTTAGTCCACACAAAAAGAAAGGAAACGGAAACTTGGTTAATGTGGAAATTAATTGAAGGCTTTTCTTTTAGTAGGACACTCACATACAGGTTTATAAAAATTGTTTGTACGCACTTAACATATCGCCTTGAAGCAGAAATTGTACAGGGTTTTTTTTTTAAGCATAAACATCCTCACGATCGGCGCCGGCGCCATCGCCGCCATCCTCGAGATTTGAGAAGAGCAGGAAATGCGATGTGCGATGCAGTTCGTGATAGAATTCCTTTGGATTGGCCAATTGCAGTTCGTATTTCATGTTGGGATCGTGTCGCACGCCCATAAAATTATAGTTCCAACTGCTCTGCGCCGGCACCATGAAGAAGCCAAGGAACTTGTTGGACAGCAGCATTTGGACGCGTTCATAGTGTGACGGCAGATAGCCCTTCGGGTTGTTGCCCTTGTCCGTATTCTTGGAGCCCCATTCAAAGCCGGATGGCGTCAATTTGTAGGCGGTCAAAGAGCAGGAGCCGGGCGTAAAGGAACAGGTAATAACAATTGTCTTTTCGCCATCCCAATTCGAGTTCTCCTGCATGATCTTGGCATGCGTGGTTATATCCTGCGGCGACAGCTGCGGCAGCTCATTCGGCTGTGTGTGTATCCAGCCGAGCGGCTCCATATCCTTGAGATACTGATGCGTGGGCAAAGCATTTGGCAAATTGATCGTCTGATGCGTGCCCCACTGTGGCGGCATCACAATGCAACGTATCTCCTTCACCTGCGGATTGTCCGGCGGACTCACGCCATACAAATAGCCAGCGATCTGTGCACGCAGATCGGATATGGTCACGAACTTTTTCAGTATATTCTTGGGCAGAATGTAGGTGTAGCCCGTCTCCTTGATGTCATCGGAGCTAACATAGATGTGATTCGTGCGCAAATGCAGATTCGTTGCGGATATGGCACGCACACGCCACTCGGTCTTCGAGCTGAACGTCTGTGTCTCATAGTTGGACGTCGTCGAGGTGATTATCTCATCGCCATGTTTGTTCGTGGTGCGCGTTGTTGTCGCCGTCAATTGATTCTGTTCCTTGGTCTGCTTCTCAATCTCGGCAATTTGTTGACGCTGCGCGGACGGCGCGCTGATCTCCATGCCCAGTATAATGTCACGGATCTCGGACTGTGTCAGCGAGGCAACATTCACATTGTTCTTCTTGCCGTAATCGGCTAAAATGAGATCCTTCAGCTGCACCTCCACCTTGATCCATTCCTCGTCCGTTAACGTCGGCCAAATGTGATGCGCCTCCGTTATGGTCGTCTTGTCCGGCTTGAGTATGATCTTGGTGCGCTCCGTGTTGACATGCAGGGCGCGCAGGATCAGTATGAGACGACTGAATGCCGTATAGGATGATATGGTCTTTAGCCAGTCGTCGTACAGATTGAACAGCACCATTTGAGGTTCGGTGGCCTTAAGAATCAGATCACCAAACTTCTCCACCTTGAGGCAGGCCTGGAAGGGCAGCTGCAGCTCCGAGCCCTTGATAACAATATTGGGAAAGTCCAGCAAATGCACCTCAAGCGGATCCAACATGCCCTTGCGCGTGACAATAATCTGTTTCGGCTGCTCCTCGACGGGCAGCGAACGAATAAGTGCCGCAACTTCCTCGGCCGTCTTCCATTTGGCCAACTGACCCAAACGCTTCTGACCCGCCCACACCGAGGTGTGTATAATCTTGAGGAATAGCTGTCCAGTGCGTGGATTAAATATGAAGATGGCGCCGTTAATCGGTTTCGTTGTCAGATTGCCCTCAAAAGTCTTGTGGATGGTCACGCGATACACATTTGTGTCGTCCACAAACCAAATGATTTGATTCGAGAAGAGTTCACCATAATTTTGGGAACTGAGGTACGGTTCCGTGGGCTCCGAGGAGTACAGCTGCAACGCCTTGCGTATGCGCTCGCGCAGCACATAAAGCGCCGGATTGGCCTTCATGATCTTGGCCATGGCCTGTTGTATCAGCGTTTTGCAGCCAGGGAACCAATTGCCATAGGCCGAATGCAAATTGTAGGCCAAATCGATGGCAATGAGCACGCCCGTGGGCGATGGATAAATGGACATATTGTCCGTGGTGTAGTCCAGGAACTTGGCCCTAGCGTAACGCTCCACATCGTGCGAATCGTAGTCGCCCCAACGCAGCTGTATATCCAGCCAATACTTTTGCGTCGTTGTATTGTCCATGGTGTCCTTCGTATCGGCCAGCAGCGACGGACGCGACACATTCCACTTGTAGGCGGGGAAGAGCAGAATATCCGCACAGGAGGAGTTCATCTTGTATGACTTGCGGGGATGTATGGTCTCCTTTTGCACCGTCTCAATCTCTAGGGCGTCTAGCTCCTGATCAAACACCTGACACAAATCCATCACAATGGACTCGTGTATCTTCTGCCACAAGTGAGCGCGAAAGATTTGAATCAAGGAGATTTTCAGTGTGGGAATTTTGCCGTGCATGAAAATACCCGTCAGATCTAGCTGCACCTGGAAACCCACGTATACATTAGCGCGATTGATTGTCGGTGACCACCAGAGCGTAAAGCGACGATTGGGTATCTGATTTAGACCAGAGCGCTGAGCATTTGTCAGCTTCTTGTACTTCATGGACTCCTCAAAGCCGGATGCCTTCTCCCAGAACAGACCCTCCCAGGTTGGGAAGTATGTGCCCTTGAATAAGGTATGCTCTAGAATGCCCTCTACGCCGCCCAATGCCTGTATCATGTCCGTGCGATAGTTGTTCAGATTCCAGAGTTTGCCATCGTGTCGCTGATGTGTCCACCAGAATGGATTCTGCTTGAGCACCTGATACTGCTTGAATTCTGTGCGTATGCGCCAGCCCTTGTCATAGGCCAGGGTATGCCGATCCTTCTGGAAGAGCGTATTGATACGCGGTATACCACGATCCCAACTGTCCTCCAGATCTTCCAGCGTAAGACGACGATTCTGCGCATTCGCCTCTTGGCGCTTCAGTGCATACTCTGCCCAAACACGCTGCGAGTCTATAAATTCACTCTCCCACGGCTGTATATAGCGATACAGATTTGGTATAAGCTGATCCTCGTCATGCGACATGCCTGTTAAAGTATTTCGTTAAAGTAGAAGCAAATGTTATGCCATTTTGCACTTACCGGAGCGGAAATGCGTGATGCCCACATCGGTTTGCTTGGACCAGCGCAGATCTGATTGTGGTATCAGGACATGACCCATGCTCAACATTCCCAAGCCGCCCAGCTCTTTGGGCGTGTAAAACACCACGGGCGGGAAACGCGAAGGCATTTTGGAGTTCAAGCCAATCTTGATACGTGTCTGTATTTTGTTTTCGCACTTGACCAACAAATCGAGCAGCTCCTGTGTATTGACCACAGCCTCGCGGAAATAGGTCATCAGACCAATTAGAGCGGTGTTCCATTTGTTGACAATCTATTTAGGGCAAAGATTAAATAAGATAAGACGCTCCCTTCAGGTATATTTAATTGCTCTCACCTTAGTGAATGTGGTGGAGCCGGAGGCCATTAAAATCTGTCGCACGCGATTGTGGAAACGTCCCAAAGACTCATCATCCACGCGCAGGAAACACTGAGCTGTGCGCTCCTTGGTTATTTCATTCTGCAAATTCCAGACGCCATCGCGATGCGTGAACTCCTCGTTTTGTGTGCGACACTGCAAAAGTTGAACAAATAAAACAAATTATTAACTGAACTTGGCGAATAGTTTGGATTTAAAGGAACCTTGGGTAAAATGCGACACTCGAAGCCACTCATGTTGAACAGCAAATTGGGATTATCCTTGGAATAGACCGAAACAAATGTGCTTTCCCAGCCAATGGTGGTCACGGAGCGGGGCAAACGATTCTTGATGTCCCAAAAGACAGCGCGACCACTGCAAGGCAAGACAAACATAAGTCAAATGAAAGCTGGTTACGATTAGGATAAAAGAAAACCTACAGATTAACGTCGTGCTTCATCAGACGCATGCGTGCATCGCGTGGCCAGCACTTTTTGTTATTATAGCCCACAATGTTCTCATTATTCGGATCCGGATGCTCGGTCAGGTAACGCTGGATAAGATCGCGCGCCTCCTCAGCCGAAAATCTAAAGAACAAATGAATGCGATCCACATAGCGACAGTAGAGCCTAATGGGATGCGCTATTTCCGTGACAGCATCCTGGAATGTTAGGAAATCGTTGGGCATTTGCGGTGGCCCAGCCATTTCGCTGGAGCGGTGCAGGCCCAGCACCAACAGATCCAAAACAAGTCCATAGTATTGTGTTATAAAGGAAGAGAACTGCAGACCACGGATAATGCCGTAGCTGTTGGTATGATTCATGTCCTTGTAGTTAATGACCACGTTATTCTTGGCCGTCATGTAATCGGCAATGTTGTGATCCACAATGAGACGCAGCAGACGATTGAGCAGAGTCAGATCAATTTTCTCGTAGAGCTTCTCAAAGCGCGACTCGAGCAGCACATTGCATTCGCCCTCACCCACGTCCCAGACATCTTGCAGATTGTTGATGCCTGTGGAGGAAGAGAGTGTATTCAATTAGAATTCTCCTTGGAAGTTCTTGTGGCTTCTGGTTTACACATAAATCTTTATATTGCTGCTTAAATGCGACACCTTCGGCGTGAGGTTTGCAACAAGGGGATGGAATCGAAGCTCATCACTTTGCCACAAATCACACGCCCAAAATGCGCAGATATATAATACACTCTGGATAGGATCTGTGCATAATTCACGCTCCGTTACCTTGACACCACTTGTAGGCCAAAAGCGGCGGTGGTTCCGTGTCGCTGGGCTTGATCCATGGCGGAAACAGACGTCGCTTGTCTGCCTCATACCACAGATACTGATCCAGATAGGCATCTGTGATCTTCTCCAGTGGCTCCACTTCGTAGACGGGTATTAGATGGCTATACAAGTCCATGAACTCAATGCCCACCTGGTAAAGAAGAGCAGCAATGAAAAACCTAACCACATTCAAACAATTTAGAATAGTCTCACCTCCTTAAAGGCGCGTTGCGTCAGCAGATGACGCTTGATACGGGACAACGCCTCGTGCGGATTGTCGTAGGCCTGTTCAATCAGACCCAGCTCCTCGCGCTGGCTTTGGTTCAAACGCGACTTGACGCTGTATGCCTCCTTCAGACGCTCCAAAGCCAAAATCAGCAGCTTGGTGTCATGCTTGTAGGAGAGCGGCGGAAAGGGTATCGGTGCAAAGCGACGTGACTCCAGCCAATGCACTGTTGTGGTATATATGGCCACCGCCTCCTCGGGCGATATATAGGGTCCATCCTTGAGGTAGTTATGCTGTCGCTCCTGCTCCGCTTTCAAATACAGACGCGTCAAACGGCCCAAATTCTTCTTGCAAACAGTCTTGTCCACGGTGGCACCACGGCGTATACGCTCGCGATTGTAGTGCGCCGTATTTGTCCACCAGTCGGCTTTCATTTTGACATAGCGCAGAATCATGTTCTCTATGGGTATGGGCAGACCGGGCACCTTCCAAGGTATATTGGCCTTCCAGCAGCGCCAGGCCTCCGACAAATGCTGGAGTATGGTACGCGCCTTGTTTTGCTTAATGCCCTCGGGCATCATGTCCACAATATCGTGCATGACCGAGGCACGCAGCTCCAAATCGAAATGGGATTCGACACGTTGTTTGGTCACCGTTTTGGCCACGCCCTTGGAATGACGACCCTCGAATTGACGTGACAACAAGTTGCCCAGCCAACGTTCCAGCAGTGGAGTTATGCCACGCATAAAGAACAACCAAACACGCCAGCCAGGTGCCCAGAAGCCACAGCCCGGACCCTTGCCCACAGGTCCCGTATTGAAGCGATAGTAGATTAGATGCTTCAAGTCCTTGCACATGCGTATCTGTCGCATCAGCTTGTACTTGTAGCGATACATGCCCGTCAGTTGGCCCACATGCGCAAAGATGTACTGTAGGCCGTCAGCTAGCTGAAAGGCGTCCACATTGTTGAGGCGATACTGTACATGCGAGTCGATGATGAGTTTGGTTAGACGTAGAATCTCGCGGCACAAATGGAAAGCTGTATAGGAGAGCAACAGTTTAGTCATTGGATGTGGATATATTGGATGTGGTTAGTTACCATTGCCGAAACGCGATTTTTTACGCTCTTTGGTGGTCAGCGTCTTGACCGGCTTCAAGTTGAAATTATAGTCCAAATGCAGGTAGTTTAGATTCTTACGATGAATAAGCAGATTAAGCATATTATAGCCCTGGCGACACACTTGCAAGCCAGCTTCCACCCAGTCCAGTGTGGTCGTCTGGAAAAACTTGGTCGCCTTGAATGAACGGAACAAATAGCTGCAAAAAAACATGCAAATAATCAGATATAATTATATATAACTTCTTAACCATTTATTTAGTTAACCTACCGCTTCTTTTGTGGCTTCGGTTTGCGATGTTTCAGAGCATTGAGCACATAGTATTTCAACAGCTTCTGGTAGCTGACGCGCACCTTGACCGGGTGACCAGGTGGGCAATGCTCCTTGTACCAGCACTTGACCAGCGGCACATCAATGGCACGGCGCGAACGACCCGAACGCATATTAAACGGACGCGGTGCCCATAACAGCGCAATGCCATTGGCTGTATTATCTGTATAGAGCGGCGTATCCTGGAGAAAAGGCTGCACATCATCGGGCAGCGTAAAGTCCTCATCGTCTTCAGGCATAGGTTCTTGTATTTTAGAATTAGCATTGCGATGTGAAATGGGGTTGATAAGTGGATCAAAGTAAAAGGCAGGCAAGTCAGGATCTTCGGTCTTGATGTAGACCACGTTGGGCGTGTGGTACCTAGATAAAAATTAATTATAGAAATTAGCCGCATTTCTAATAGAAGTCTAGTCTTTATCGACTAACTATTCTTAAAGATTAGGTGTGTATGCAACTATCAGCAGTAACGATTTAGTCTGCAAAATCGAAACGAACATTCACATTGCAAAACCCAGGAATCAATCGCTAAATTGGTAGTAAGTAGGGCCTTCTTGTTTGATCTAACATGGCATGAAGCGTTACCAGAATATGCGTACAACTGGGAACTCTACGGACATGTAAGTATATCTAGCTACATATAAATTCTAATAGATAAGTTTGCTTACCAGCTCAGATGCACAAAGTGCGGCATATTGTTGTACAGGTATGGAAACGCAATGCGATACTCGGTGCGTATGGGCTGCCTAATAATAACCTTGTTTATATCATTGAACTCATTCCAGTCCTCGTCACTGCGTGAGAAAACAAATACAATTAAAACAAGCTCTTAATTTATATTGCATTCGCTTACCCAACATTATGATCCTTAATAAGCGGCTCAAACTTGGGGCCACCGGGTATGGCCATGTTCAGTGCTTTGGCTGTGAAGAAGCTCTTTGGATCAAATAGATAAAAGAAATTATTGTCGACCAAGTCGGTGAGCAGCTGATTGGCCAGACGGTAAAGCGTTGCCAGCTGGGGCAGGGACAGATTCCACTTGCGATAAGTGGAGCCATTCACAAACCTAACAGAGAGCAGGATTAAAAAGGATATTGGTTTATATGTATGGGTATGCTTACGGCGTATCTACTAGTGGTCGATGATCATAGAACCATTTGTAGACAGCATTATCTTCATCGTTGTCCAGCTCGATTTGTATGGCCTCCAGCGGCTCCACATCCAAAACGTTGTCCGCATAGTCTAGCGGCGGCTCCTCATCGTCGAATGGCGGAAAACGCATACGCTTAAAGTGGCGACGGTCGCGCTTCTCACGACGCATCATAATCCACATGGTGCTGCGAAATGTACCCTAATATTTAGCTTAAATATAAAGAGTACCTTAATTGGAACTTACCCCCACTGCGCAATGTAAACCGGCTCGATGACCCAGGGTATCTCATTGACAAAGGTAATGGCGCCTGTTATGTGATACAGCACCTGCACATCCCGTATCTGCTCCCACGGCATGGGCATGTTCTCGAGCAGCTTAAGCACTGCATGTGGCATGTATTTGAGTGCGCCCAGATAGACACGCTTGTCGTGGCGATATTTGCGTGAGGTCATGTCACCATGATCGCGTATAATCTTGCGTATATGCTCTGGCGGCATGTCCTCTTTCTGTGTGTCAATAAAGCCGAATTTGCGTTTCTCGGCAAAACGTTTCGACTGCAAGTGCTGCCACTTAAGCGCCTTCTCCTGCAGTTTCTCCTCGGTGAGAATATCTGGTTTTGGTGTGGGTATTTGTCCCAGCTGTGGCTGGGGCACGCCCACTGCCGGCACCGGTATGCCATTGGCATGTCCCGACGTCGGCAATGGGGCACCCGGTGGTGGTATTTGCTGTATCTGGTTGGCCATCTGCTGCTGCGCATGCAGCTGGGCCTGCTGTGCATGGGCCGCCGCGTACGCCTGCTGCTGGGCCATCAGCTGGGCGGCCCAGGCATTTGGCGGAATCATATACGGCGGTATAGACATCGCTCAATTGCATGCGACACTATTAAACAATTAATGGAAATATATATATAGGCATATAATAAAAACAAACCACACACACGTTTCGTTTACGCCGAAGAGAAAGAAGAAGACGCAAAGGCAGCAGCGGCGGCAGACTTTGCTGCCGTCGCCGCGTTTTGCAATTTTCACCACAGCTATTTTAGCGCAAAGATCGAATGCCACACACAAAATTAACTATTTAAAACATACATACAGAATACGTGTGTTAAATATTTACCTAATCGATCAATTTCAAGCACTTTTTCGTGGATTTTAAACAATTTTCCGGTTTCTCTTGCAAAACGTTTACGATGCGGCAGACATTTTTCAGAGATGACCCGATATAATTTGCAAGCCAACATCGATAGGCGATAGACCGACTCAGCCCAAGTAACAAAATTATCGATATTTAAACGTTAAGTAAATGGACTTGGAAATGTTTTCAAATCATATAATAATATTTCAAGAAATCCCCAAGCATGTTCTAATTGTAATAATGAAATCAATCAGCTGGTCAACAACTTCAAAACGAATATTGTGTACTGTTTACCCTACTCATTATGAACTTTTTCCACGAACTGCGTCAGCATATTTACTTACTGACGAATGCCAGGAATTTTTGATGTCAAACGGAAAACATGTTTTGATATTGAACTATATAATTGATTAGTTTTAATTCTCTAATTAACTCTGAGACAATACACGCTGTGTGTAAAATTTGACCCTGAGACATGATTGCAAATAATAAAACCCAATTTCCACACGGTTAACGACTTCTCCAGAGATTTGTTTGGCCAATCAATGATCATATGCAAAATCAATCTCCGGCATATTTTGCGCACTATATAAGATCTTGGCTAGGCTGCACAGAACCACAGTTTAGCAATAACAGAGCTTCTAGGCAGAGCCAAGCTCAGCGAAAGGCGTTAATTTGCTAAGAAAAATAAATCTATTGCGAGATTTCACAAACAATATTAACGATGGCAAAGGTAAATAATCAACAAACAAAGAAAAATCATTCAATTACTTAACTATGCTCCAATTCCAGCTCTTGATAGTACTTATTTGTCTGACTGCTCTAATTTGCTTGCTGGCACCGGTCAAGGCGGCTCCTGCAGAGGTAAATTAACCAAAAACTTAAATACCTTCTGAATTATATTCTAATTGTATTTGTTTTAAAGCGCTTGGAGTCTGCTGCTGATGCCGACGACCTCTCCACGGCGGACAGCATAGGGGTTGGATACTATGCGCCAGCGTACTACAGTCCATATTACGGCAGAAGAAGCTATGGCTACGGCGGATACGGTGGCTACGGCTATGGCGGCTACAGAGGTTACGGCAGCTACTATCGTCGCCCCATCTATCCGGTTTGGGGCTGAACATAAGACGCAATAGAACCTAGATAGTAGTTTATACATATACCAATATATATATATATACATATATATATATTACTTTTAGCCTTGTATATCTTATACTAACAACCAAATAAATAATATTTTAGCAAAGAATTGGAAAGTTTTTCCCCTAGTACTATAGCTTTATATTATAGGTGTTGCTTAGGTACATTATAGATGATAAATATTATGAGAGTTTTCTTAAAGATTTGCACCTATTTCGCTGTAGTATGAAGTCTGCCCAGTTGCTGCTCCTTTCACTCGACCACTGTGTCATCCAAAACAAGTTCAGTCAGTTTTTTGAACAAACTTTTTACTTACACAACCTGACGTCATAAATGCTTTTGACCCCACACAACAATTAACACCGCGCCACACACAAAAAATGTAATTATATATATATTTTTTTTTTTGCTCTGTTTAAGCTGTACGTTGGAAAACCGGATTGCACGACTCTAAAGAGCGCTTCCGAAGAAGTTGCAGTCATAAATTTTGTGACTAGACGCCGGCAAATGTAACATAAATACAAAAGAGGGAAAATGCGGCCGAAAGTATTTGAACCCGGGACCTCCACGATTTACGACAGACACGAGTCCATAAGTTCAAAGATTCAAAGAGTTTGGCCGAAAATCAAGTAATTAAATACAATTTTGTTAATTTGACTAAAAGTTTTCGTTTGTTTCTGCTTTATGTGGCATCGAAATGTTTGGGTATTACATTAGGTACACTATACAAAAATTTAAGTTAGGTTTGATTAAAGCCAGTTTTTTTGATTTTTTTTTTATATATTTCTTAAGGCTGTAAAGTGGCCTCTAGTGGTGCCGGCGAGCGTGTCCGTGCGTTTTGTGCGCTTGCTTCTTGTGATGATGTGCCTTTTGCTGATGGCTCTTTGAGGATTTGCCGCTCTTGGAGGACTTGTGGCGTCTGCCATTGCGATGCGACTTGGAATGATGCGGCGCCAAGGGCACATTGATGCGGCCATGCTTCACATGCTCCTTATCCGCATCCGCATCCTGTATGCTGCGATGCTGGCTGTGCTCCGCCAGATGGCCAGCATGCGGAGCCACATGCTGACGCTTGTGGTGCTGCCGTTGGCCCTCCTCCAGCTGCTGCGATGCCAGCACAGCGGCAATCAGGACTGTGACAATGATGAACAACTATAAAAAGGAAAAAGATATGTATAATAAAAAGATCAAAACCAAATAGTAGCTGTGCATTTGGAATTCCCAAATGGGCAGGATTGAGCGACATAGCTGCTATCTAAGCGGATAAGATAACAATGTCGGCCCCCATTTAACGAACCCACTCACCGATTTCAGCATGATGTTTCCACGTTTTTTCAGCTTTGCCTTACGATTTCGTGTTGTGTAAACGCAGACGTTCAAATGTCGACTGCTTTCGGAAACTCTTCCGCTGGTGTTTATAGCCTTATCTTTTATATGACCAGCGAGCAACTCTCCAGCCCCTATACTATACATATATATATATATATATATATAGATATATGTACTTTCATGTGCGTCAGTGTGTGCGCGCGGCATTTTATCGGCCATAAAGACCGAAATACGGAGTATGCTTCGGTTTATGTATTTTCTCATTAGATGTAACCAGACGGGCACATACATACACAGCTCTGGGAAGGCATAGCTCAATCCTAACTAGAAATTACGTGACTTTCGGTCGAAGTCTACGCATATTGCAGATCATATTGATATATTGCATATTGCAATATAATATAATCCAGCTGCCTGCTTATCTATATTTATATATATATGTCTATATATATATATAAATATGCGTCAATAATCGGAGTACTTATCTTTCATAGAACGCTTTGGTATTCGATATGGCTATTTATTGTTAGCTTTTGGTGTAAAATATTATTGGATCATGAATTTCATTTTATTGCATATACTTGAAAATAATAATTATACAAAATAAGTGTAAATAAAATGATAATTCACGATTTTTTTTGCTGGTGTGTGTTGTACTTTTAATCTATTGAATTGAAAGTTTATTTATTGATTTGAATATATATTTGTATATGTTTACGTGTGTTGCTTGCTAAACGTAGTTAGTTCATTATATAAATATGTATGTTTTGCTTTCGAATGCTTCTTTTTGCTTCATATTCATCGTACATAAGTATACAAAAAGTTGAATATACATATATATATATAAAATATTTGCTTACATAGAATATATATGTGGGATTTACGAAAAGTGTTGGTTAAAGAGAAATATATAATTTAAAGTAGAACAAAATTGGTTATTGAAAACAAAATCGAAGATAATATAGAAAACAATGAAAATAAAAACATAAATATATAATGCAATATTTTACGAAAAAAAACTTAAGATTAATACAATTTTTTTTTACTTTTTCATTGTTTTAGTGTTTTTTTTACATTTTTACTTTTTTTTTTTTTGTTTGTTTATATTGTGGATTATATTGTGTGTTATAATTTACGACAAGTTGAAAGCTTGCTCTTAACGTGGCTAACGCAATGTTGTTATTTCAATTGGGTCTTAATAGAAAAACTACAAAAGGAAAAATGTTGGCGTTGACAAAGTTTAAACCGATTTGCTTAGCAATTGAAATTTGAATTTTCATTGAACACTTTTTGGGGACAATATGTCGGGGTTAATGAGGATATACTACTCTGATTGTTATTTTTTATAACGGCAAACACTACAGATATTGATAATTGTGTAGTAGATAAATTTGAATAAGTAATTAATCGGTTATTTGATTCTATAAATCGTTTGACCCTAAACTGTTGCCAACGTTTTCAAATTCCTACTCCTCGATGGTGTAAAGGAAATAGTAGTTTTCATTATCGTTGATAGCGGCTGGCGGTGCCTTCGGTGATTTTCTCGATAGCGGCTCAAATCCCATGAATAGGAATGCCTCAATTAAACGATGACAATCCGGTTGATCCTTGCGCATAACCATGACAATGCCGTCTACCTCTAACTTATCCTCGGCAAACTCCAAGAGGGATATGAAGGTCTCCTTGGAGCCAGATGGGGGCAAATCAGTGGGGAAAGCGACGTATAAAATGTTGTTGTTCGGGTTCAAAATCGACATCCAATTGGTAGACTGGTCTTCGGTGACGTGCAATTTGATGGAAATATGCACCGGTTGGTCATGCTGCAAGATCTGGCGCAACACCTCCTGGCAGTCATCCTCCGAACATAACGAATGAATGTCATGCGACTCCGTGTCAGAGCATTCTGACGACGAAGAGGAAGAAGGTGACGATGCCCGAGAGCTGGCCTCGAACAAGCTGCCGCCAGCCGAGTCAACCGAAGACTTTCGGCTGTAGCCTGTCAAAATGAATTAAATCATAAAAATTAATATACAAATTGAATAGATTTGGGGCTAGTTTATTTACCCGTTAAGAGCGATGCCCTATCGTGATCTGTTCTGTGGTGGACAGGGACATCAGGACCACCACAGAGGCCCTACGCCGAGAGAGATGCGGTAGGAGTCAGTCGACATGTTCGTGGCGCAAGACGAAGTCGAGATGGTTCGGAGCTTGCCATCGGCACATCCTGCAACTCCGCTATCATTAAAATCTCTTCTAACGAAGCTACTACTAAAGATTGGGTCGCTGTGAATGAAACAAAAATCAAAATACATAACCACCCATATTAAATATCAATTCAACAATTCCATGATATACTGCTGTCGATTTTGTAGTAGTATATGGATTTTATTTAATTTACCAAATCATTTTTAAAGGCAATTGGTGGCTAGGCACAAAACAGCTTTACGGCGCAATAGCTAATGGAAAACTGACATAGGCACCCTCGAAGCGTGACTATTATCGGTAAAGCCGAATCAAATTAAACACATTTTTTTTATGATGCAGACTTGTTTCAGAATGTTTATAAAGATAAGAGGCCTGTTATCTGCAATAAAATCGGCAAGCGCGGCGATAAGCCGATACAACGGATACCCGATAACGATAAAAATTATCGCGCAACCATGCCGAAGAAATACAACCCTGCTCGTACACACGAGTTTTTCACCACAGCATGGCGGCACAGGCAGCTGTCGCACGCACACACATACTCAATCGTGAACGTTTGCGCAAAGAAAAAACAGCGAAATTTCACGGCGTCTGCAAATTACGCGAAAAACCATTAAATTTTTGAAAATATATATAATAAAAATACACTTTAAAGATGTCGATTGGTGTACCTATTAAAGTTCTGCACGAGGCTGAGGGCCACATAATCACTTGCGAGACAATCACCGGCGAAGTCTACCGCGGCAAGCTCATCGAGGCAGAGGACAACATGAATTGCCAAATGACACAAATTACGGTAACCTACCGGGATGGACGCACGGCCAATCTGGAGAATGTATATATACGCGGGTCGAAGATACGTTTCCTCATACTGCCCGACATGTTAAAGAATGCGCCGATGTTTAAAAAGCAGACCGGCAAAGGTCTTGGTGGGACAGCCGGTCGCGGAAAAGCGGCAATACTTCGAGCACAGGGTGAGTCAGGCATTCTGAGTCTATATATATTGCCTCATGTACTAACGCGTCGTGTTTTTCGTGTACAGCTCGCGGTCGAGGCAGAGGAACTGGTCCTGCTGGCGGAGGTCGAGGCGGTGGTGGACCACCAGGCGCTCCCGGTGGCGGCGGACGCGGTGCCTGGCAAGGCGGTCCTACAGGCGGACGTGGACGCGGCGGCTTATAAGATGCAACATCAGGAGCACATTCTACTATATAAGTTAAGGGAAATTAATCTTAGCGGGCGGGTCGCAAAACTAACATGTTGAAAATCTAATTATTTGTCAAGAAAACCAGACGGAGAATATGAAAATTGAATTTCAAAATGTGACCACTCGTCTTTATTTTGTTGCCTAGAGAAGAAGAGGGAAACCAACACCAATTATGTGGACAAACAAATATATAAATAATATATTAAATATGTATAAGTCGTCGCTTTTCGAATATTATACAAAGAGAGCAATTCCATGACAGTATTACAATCTGTATAACTTGACTGTCGACGGATAGCTCTCTTCATTTCGCTATTCGCAAACTTGGTTAGCTTGAAGAAGCCAAAGGACATAGGACATTTTCAGACAGAAAACAAGTTATATGGGGTTAGATTCGGTTAGTTTGGGCAACGTCGAATATCATACAAAGAGAGCAATTCCATGACAGTATTACATTTGTTACTGGACTGTCGACGGACAGCTCTCTTTATTCACTTATTCGCTTTTCGGTACGGTTTCATGGTTATTCAACATTTAGTTCAGCGGGGACAGCACACAAACATTGAGGAAGAAGTAAGAATGTTGAAGCCGGGAATAACCGACTGCACAATACTCTGTTTACAATTGAACTGCCGGTTAAATCAGGCGAAGAGTCTTCTGGGTTAGTGGGCCGACTAACACATTAACTGCAAAGCTTCTAGCTTTATAAATTTGTACGGACAGACGGTCAGCAAGGCGTACGTCGCAATCAGAAAATCAATATACTCTCTTTTACGTAGGGTACAGAATGTACAAATATAATATACTCAAGCTTTTTGTTGGGCCGGCACAGACAGAAATATGTGAAAATTTCTGTATATTGATGCCAATTAAACAACAAACTGCGCACTTGGCAAAGCGTTTCAAATTGAGAGCGTTTCGTAGGCGTTCGCTCCGAGTATGGAAACTCGTGGCAGAAGGAGAGGGGAGCAGTGTGGCAGCGCGAGCCATGTTAATTTTATGAGTGCAATTCCACCCCCCCCCCCCCTTCCTCCACAATTTCAAACGACGGCACGTGCATGCGCGCAAGTGCAGTTAAATGACTTTCAATTAAACAGGAAATATGCAATATGTTAACCACCTACCCGAACTGATCCTCTGATATGGGAGAGTCTGGCTGTTGTTGCTGCAGCTGCGATTGCATGTTAGCCAATGCCATCTCACTCACTTATATTACAAGTATGTATATAAATATATATATGTGTGTATATATGTATTTATCACAGTTACGTTTTTAAGTTATGCCTAGCTGTATGTCTCTTTTGTGCTAATTCCGTTATCACAGTTCTGTTTACACTTAGACAAAGTTCTAGAAGTTTACATCGAAAAGGCTTGCGAAAGGTATTTGCCTCTCTCCCGCTCTCTTTGTGTGTTTGTTTTGTTTACAACAATAAAGATTTGTGCTTGTATTTGATTTTGTTTAACCGTTTGCCGAAGCGCAGCGTTTAGCGTTTGCCAGCCAACTGACGGCATCCCAATGGCGGTGGCATCATTTATTTCAAAAATATTTAGTTGCTCCCCCTACATACACACACACACACACACATACATACATAAATGCATGCTGATGTGTGTGTATGCTACAACTACTTAGTTGGGGTTATAGGCACTATGCGGCGGCAGAATAGAAACAAATAAACAGGTACAGTTTAGCTTTTAAAGAAAAACTGCCTTTGGAATTGTTTTTAGAAATCTTGTTTCGAAGGTTAAACATTGCCCCTACGAATGTCCCACTCGCGGACCCAATAGTTTTTGCGGTTGGCGAAAGAGCAAAAGCAAACAAGTGGCAAAAGGTAGCAAAAAAAACCAAAAAAGAAAAACTAATTACATTTGCATTGCTGATGCCGCTTTATGTCTATGCAAACATATGTACCCGCACATATATATTGAAAAACAGTGCTATGAAAATAGTTGAAGCTGTTTTTTTCTTTTTGCAGTGTTTAGTTTACAAATTGAATTATGTGCCACGAAAAATAAGCTATTTATATAAAACATACATTTGTAATATGTTTTTGTCGTGCTCAAAGCTCATGAATAATTAATGCGATCAGCACGTGCGCTACTTGAAAAAAACAAAATAGCAAATCAGCAAATATTAAGTGGCTATAAATAGCCAAAAGAAAAGAAAAAAAGCGATAACGATAAAACGCACAACCAATCGATGACTGTCTGACGTGCTGTCTACGGTGTCGTTCACATGTATGTATGTATGTAGATGCATGTGTATTTGTAGTCTCACGTACACACGCATATGCAAATACATGTTTCAAAGGCCATCGGGTGATTTCTATGGAAATAAAGCTATTATAAGTGTGAATTCTTGGGCAAGTATGCGAATCGGCTCACGTTTTACACCACGCATTGAAATTCGCTCACATTTAATTTTAATCAGCATAATCACATAACCATTTAAACATATGAACGCATCAGACAGACGTGATACAAAGCAACAGGGAGACTACAGTTAATAACTTCTTTTGCACCTATCGCTATCGCCCACAATCTAGTTGTATAAACTATGTACATACTAAGTACGTAACTACAAATAGGTCGCTTGGGTAAACATGTCAAATGGATGAAAACTGCTGCATAAAGCTGTCCGTAAATATGCTTAAGCGTTAGATAGAATGCTGGCTCAAAGCAAACATGTACCGCAATAAGAGGCAATAAAACACATATGCAAACACACAATTTTAGAGATTTAAAACAAAAACAGTCAACAAATAAAACAAATCATTCCTTTTTTACTATTATTATTGTAGCAATGACAAAAGCAGGCAGCGATAAGATGGTTGACAGCTTTATGATGTTTATCACGTCGATAAGATAACGCGAAAACGTGTAAAGTGGCAGAAAATGCAGCCTCCTTAAATTTTGTGACCTTCTGATTAAACAGGTTCTAGCATGTTTTCTATTGAAAGCTCTTTGCTTTATTAGTCGATTGACCCAATATTGTGTTGTTCTGGCAACTCTTGCAACGCATACAAACGCGCACATATACATTGTATATACACATACACTCACAACCCATTAACGACGCTCACTTGCCACAGCTGAGTTGCATGGCGAGTGGAATTTTCCATTGTTTGTAAATACATGAATTGCCCGTTTGCTTGGTTGTGTGTGGGAATGTGTATATGTGTTTTGTTTGTGACGTAAGGTAGGCGCACAGTGGCTACTGCTGGGCCAAAAACCGCTCCACGAAGAGGCAAAGTTGCACTCCATGGAAGAAACTTCTAGCCGGATGACAAACAACAAACAACAACAATGGGTAAATATAAATACGCAGCAAAAAAAAAAAAACCGGTCGCAGTTTCACTCTGCTTGGTCTTATTAGATATTTTCTTGCTCTACTGCAACTGAGAAACGGCTCTTTACAAAGTCATAAGGGTCGAATTTTTTTTATTATTTTTGTTGTTTATTTTGGCAGCGAGATAACATGCCAGAGTGCAAACAATGCTGACGAGGCTGCTCGTCGGATACGGACACTCAGATAAGGGCGACCAATAAAAGTCACAATGTTTACCGCGTAATAACTGTAATTTCTAGCAAAAACTCCGTTTGTTTTCTCGCAGCCGTCTAGAAAGTTCCAGTCGCCATATAATACAGTTGCATTGGAAGACAAGTGCAAGCAGCACACTGCATAAACGGCACTTGTCAAAAGTCAAGAGAATCGAGTAAATTAAAAGCGAATTACAGTAAAAGTAAGCAACTCATACGAAAATACACACACACAAATAAAATTTTCTATGTACATTCGCTAAAAATATAAAATTAGAAGGGTATTAAAACGGTTAATTTGTGGTTGTGTGTGCACGCAACGAGGTTGCCAGATTGTTTAAAGCATGTCAATAAAGCAATTAATGTTGCCTTCAGTTGCTTTGCACACAATTTTAGCAATCAAGCTTTAATTGATGCGCGCATGAACAGCCAATAAACATTTATCAGCGTTCCTTTTCTCTTATATATTATTCGTCTCCATTTCAGTTGTGCCTTGGGGTGAGAGCCACATACAGGCGCACAAGATGGCTGCTACGAAGAGAAAAAGAAAATAAAATACGCAAAATAAAGTAAAACAATTACATTTCAAAAAAACGAACATCCATGGAATATATTTTTTGAAATCAATTATTTACTTTACCAACGGACCGTTTTTGCACTTATCTCATTTCTTTTTGGTTATGTGGACTCTCGCACACACACACATACATCTGCACACAAGTACATACATATGTTTTAACGGATGTATGCGCCTATGTGTTTGCATATACCTCGTTCATGCTTTAATATTACAGTTACACCATCACCGATCCGAAATTAGTTAGCTAATTACACTTAAAGCTATTGCACTATAAGGAACTTGCTATGTATTTATTGGCAACCAACAAACTACATAATATATATGCCACCAATTGGATTGGAACCGTGCACTATATTCCATTTTCTTTTTTGTTATCATTCACTACAAAATCGATTTTTGCACTATTTCTTTGTATGGCACCTTGGAACCATTACTTACAGTTTATTATTCATGTTTGATGGCATTTTTACACTTAATGGTTGCAACTTAACGCACAAAGAAACAAAAATTTGGTTTATTGGTGAAAAATCTGCTCTGGCTTAACGAGAAGCGTTTGCGAAGTCTGCACTTGCGATCTGATTAGTTTGACTGCTGAATTCTATATGCTATGAACGGAACCCAGACCAATACACGAAACCTACGGTTTAAACGATTGTTTTCAGGGACGATAGTTAAGTATTAAAGTTACATTCGATGAATTGGCTAGCGTTTTCACTTCCATCAAAATCATCGGACATCGATAAGACAAGCGAGTTCACATTGCTTGAGCGACAAATGTTCATAATCAAAGTAGTTTCTTATTAAGTGTTAACTTCAATGATTGGAAAAGCATTTATACGAATATTTTTCGGTTGCTCAGCCGAATTTGTTTTTTTTCAGGGCCAATAGATTTTTAAAGCAACCTTTCATTTGTTCAGTGAGAACGTTTTGTATTTTTATATCGATATCGCCCTCTTGTTGTAGTCGATAGCGATTGTATACTTAGTGCAGCATTGCCCG